GCCACGGGCTTAGACAACCTCTACAGCATTAAAAAGAGCAGCCTATTTGATGTAATAGGTCAATTAAATGAGAAAATGATAGTAACCCCTTTCAATTTTCTCAGCTATAATCTTAATCCTCATAATCTTGCACTGCACGGGAGTCACCCACGAGTTACCCATTTTACAGTCAACGGAATAATGCTCTTTGGGATCTTACATATTCTGGCCGTCGGTGCTGGTTTTAAAATGTTAAAGAAATACATCTATCAATTAACACGGGTCAAATCATATTGCCATGGGTCATCTGGGCTATTAGTGCATTCTGAGGGCAATCCAACATTACTGCTGTTTTATTTTGTTCCTTTGGCGTTTCTCTCCCTATTCAGTCACCAAGAACCTCGGTTTCTCATTCCTCTCATCTTGCCGTTAGTCCTGTTCAGCACATCACAGAACAGAGCTGTGAAGTGGAAACACATCATTATTATTTTCAATGTTCTCGGGGCTCTGCTGTTTGGGTGCTTACACCAGGGAGGACTGATACCATGTTTGTTGCACTTGGAGCAACTCATGCATTCTCCGGAGTCCTCAAACCATCCAAGACACTATACTCTACTCTTTGCTCACACCTACATGCCTCCTAGGTCTCTGCTTAATATCAAGAAGAGAGACACGCATGTAGAAGTAATTGATATGGCTGGGTCCGAAGAAGAAACCCTCTGCCGAACAGTAGAGCAGCGAGCTAACAATTTTACCTGCAACGACTGTCATGTTTTTGTTATAATCCCTGGTACGGTCAGAGCCACAATTGCAAAATGTGGTGTCTCGTTCAGGAACGAGACTTTGATATTTCCACACTTATCAATGGAAGACCCACCACAAATACCCTTCCTATTCAGTGGAAATTGGAGAAGTCAGTTAGGACTATACATCCTTCAGCTAGACAGAGATCAGCAGAGCCTTTAGATTTTAGGAGAACGTTTTAGGTTTCCACTTCACTTGGGCACTGCGCAAAGGCGCTGCGAGAACTTCCTCTTCACAGACCCACCTTCAGCACAAGCAGTGGCACCGGGAGCTCCCCTGAGTCTCTTCGTTCCCTTTCTTCATTCTCTTGCACTCACCAGTGTAGCCAGTTCTGGATAGAACCTGCTTAAAATTTGAGTTATGCAGCCCCTGTGGTGTTTCATATGAACTTGTGTAATTTTCCTGATGAGACAGGATGAAATCAGAGCCTACCAAAACTGTGATTCAAGCTTAGCTCTTTCCACGTGAGATTTATTTTTGAAAGTTCTTACCATCTCTGATAGAGGGTTTGTGGATTGTGTGGTTTTTACTGATAATAGGCGTTAACTTGGCTGCTGGAGAGAGGTTACAGGACTAGACAAAAGCTGGGCGACTCAGTAAGGTTTTATTTTTGTGCTCTTAAAAATTCAGAGCCTCCTCTCCGTTGTTAGATTGCAGTCACAATGTAGGCACCAGCACTGTAATATTGTCTTGGGTGGTTCTGTCTTGAAAAATCCCCAGCGCTGATCTGACAGAATCTGATTTAGAACATGGAAGATGCTTCAGTGTAAGTACTTGTGCTCAATCTCTAAATCCACGCTTTGCCTGTTTCGCGTTTCTTGCCACGGTTCCATTCTTGTGGATGCGCTGCATACGTATTACATACAGCAGCTTGAGAATGCTGCATTTTGATGGCGTTAAGCCCGCCTGTTGTTTAGCTACTGCAAACGGGGCAGTCCTTCCCACGCGTGCCCCCGCTGCATGTCTCGCAGCTTTCATCGCTGTCGTGGCTCTAGCACCGGCAGTGGTGCAGAGCAGGCCCTGCGGCGAGCCGGCTCGAGGAGCTGCGCAGACAGAAAAGAGGTGACTTGGAGGGATTTGATCCTTTGTAAGCGTTTGACCAGATGGATCTCCAAACTGGCTTACCGCGGGGTTAGAGATCCACCAGTTCTGCTGCAGGGGAGCGTGTGAGGATCCGAGGGAGGAGCTGCGTCCCCTGCGCCCCCCTCCCCTTTTGGTAACTGCTCCCCATTAAATCACCTTAGTGAGAATGACAAACCCCACGTCCTGGCTCTCTACTGGAGAGCAGTCCGATTTTAAAGCTGGATACAAATAACCCTGAGCTTCAGCTGAGAATGATGTTTAATACGTTTAATAGCATAGCACAACTAACGACTTTCCATTTTTGCCTGCGTGGACTTCTGGATCCAAAACATCCTGACACGGAGGGAGACGGTAATTTGGCACATGCATTGTACGTCAAGCCTCTCTCTGTGAAACGAATCTGACACTTGAATTCTTTCTGCTCACAAAGGCAGTAATGCTTTTTGCAGTTCTTCACCCACACAGCTTTACATAAGGTCTTACGAGCCAGTTTTTCAACAGAGACAATATAGGTTGATGCCAGGCTCTAAAGGGAAGCTAGGAAAAATCCCTGCGTGAAGGATTTTCCCGTATCTTCCAAATTAAACGTACACTCTAGATTTTTAAGGAACATAGCTCTTGCTCTCTTGTAAAGCATTTTGTGTTAAGTTTCCTCTACATGTTCATCCCACATATTTCATCCTTCGTTATTGACAGGCCTGTAAATTAAAGGTGCATGTTTTGGGGGGAGGGGGTGCATGTATGTTTGTACTGATGACTCGCAAAGTAGTGGAAGTAGTTATGACAGCATCGTGACACCAAATGTATTTCTAAGTTAATTTCCTTTTTGCTCTCTTACTTGGAACGACAGTCGTGTGCCACAGCTGGTATTCCATGTCCTGCTTACTGTTTTCAGCTTTCTTAAACAGCTTCTTTTAAATTTTGAAAACTGTTTTCATAAAACTTAAGATCTCTGGCAATCTCAGCGGGGTAGATCTTGAAACTCTTCAGGGATGTGATGGAGCACCATTCCCGTGGCATGATGACTTCTCTACCGCTGCACCCGTAACCTGTGATAGAGCCAGGAAGAGAACCTGACTACAAATACCAATTCAGACTGAAAATACACTGCTTTTGTCTCACCAGCTAGACCTTTTATCATTGACACCATAGATCTGGTTTTTCCATCCGTGCACACCTAAGTCTTTGTTGGTGGGAGGTTTAATTTTACCAGCGATGCTGGAAACTGTCATCTCGGACAATTTGCAAGGTTCTTTTTACCTGGGGCAATACAAGGAATGGGAATCATCCTCCCCAGTTAACTAAGTATCTAGTCAGCTGGACTAAACACTGAAACACGCTACGAAGGAAGGTTAACTACTTTACTCTCCTATGTTGTTAGATACAGCAACTTAAGTAAACCCGCTCAGTGCATCACGTATGATGTATACACCTTTTTCCATATTTGTAGTTAGGATGGCTCTACTGGTCTGTCTTTTTTTCCCCCTAAACCCTTCTTGCTACCATAGACTTGAGGTGTGCTTTTAGGACAGCGACTGAATCTCTTTTACCTACCTGTAAAACGGGCGATTATCCTATCCATCACCATCATCATCGACATTTAGAGCTCTTTTTGTACCGAAGTTGCAATACAAATGTAGACTTATTGCTGTTGTATAGACAGAAATTGTTAAAGGAACTCCAGTGAGAAATTTGTTTTTATTTCAAGTTTCTTATCAAGCGCTTACAGTGACAGTCTCGACAGTATTCTGGACGATGTTTAACGTGAGTCCGCCTTCTGCCTGTTACTGAGTGCTGTGGAAAGTGTAAACTGACTCTGAAATGAAACCCCCTCGTACCAACAGGCAGCATGCTTCACGTTTCCGTGCTTGCGCTCAGGAACCGCTCCTGGCTATGGAAAAGCAGCCCACGTCCGCAGCTCGCGATCCGCGTTACGCAGGCCGGGGTAACGCTGGGGTCCTCCGTGGCTGGCGCCGCACGCCCGTGTACCGTGCCCGGTTCAGGAGAGGCTGAGGGGGTCCGGCTGTCACCAGGAGCCCGTCGCCGAGGCCCCGGGGCCCGTTCACCCGCCGGCTCTAACGCGCTCGTCCTCCTGCGCTCGGCGCGGGCAAGCGGTCGCGGTTTCCTTCTCCTCCCCGGCGGGATCCCGCCCCGGCTGCGGCTCCGCGGCCGCCTCCCGCTCGGCGCGGCGGTCAG